TGCATGCACAATTTCAGTTCAAAACCGAAATAATGCATATGGCAAAAACCGAAATAAAGCATACATGCACAGTTTCGGATGAAAACCGAAATAATGCATATAACAAAAACCGAAATAATGCATGCATGCACAGTTTCGGTTGAAAACCGAAATAATGCATATGAGAAAATACCGAAATTATGTATATGCATACTTTCGGTTTAAAACCGAAATAATGCATATGGTAAAAACCGAAATAAAGCATACATGCACAGTTTCGGTTGAAACCGAAATAATGTCTAAATGCACAGATTCCATATGCGCAATTTCGGTGCCCCTAAATTCACACACACATCTGCTCATATACACTCCTCGTCATTTGAATTGCACTCCTTTTCAATGCTTAGTATTTACAGTTTTCCTTTTGTTTATTTAATATAATTTTTTTGTAAAAATATAGCATATTCTACAGGTAAATGCAATTTTAAATTTGTTTACAAATTAGAACTTAAAAGAAAATTTCTTTTCCATTTCTTGGGCAGCATTTTATATGATTTTTTCGTTTTTCTTGAGAGCTGGAAACAGTTCTTAAAAAAGGTCAACATAGGAGGGTGCTATCCTAATGACCTGCAGTCAATAAGTTAATAATATTTTTAGAAAAATTTTGGATATGCATTTTGCAGCCCATTCAATTATAGTGTAATAAAGTGCCAGTTTCAAGGGACTCTGAAATAGCCCTGATTTTTTAAGTTTTTTTATTTTTTATTGACGGTGCTGCGCATTTTATTCCATATAAAATTTTGTCGAGCATACTTTGTATGAGAGAAAATACGCAGCACCATCACCCATAAAATTTTCAAAAATCACCGCTATTTTACAGACACTTGAAACTTGTACTTTATTGTACCCCTTTGTTGGCATTTTTTTAACCCTGTATAGAGTTTTAAAATCGGATGTAATGAATATTAGAAAAACAAAATTAAAAATGTAAATACTAAGGATTGAAAGGTTGAGCTATTCAAATGACGAGGAGTCTATGTGGCGTACGTTAGGGAGAGTGGGCCTTTTAACTCCAGAATGCGTGTGCAGTGGCTCTCCTTGGTATACGTGAATTAGTACGATCCGTTGCCCCCTTCATGTTTGCCCATGATTTTCCCCTGATCTAGCCCGCGAAATGGGCTCGCTTACCCGTACGGGCAAAAAAGCCCATACGGGCAAATGTGCCCATGTCTGATTTAGACAACAAAGATCAATTGCTGAAAATTCTAAACAATTCTTTTTTTTACACCGGCATACATAATAAACTAGTGATCCCGCATGGCGTTAAAACGCCTAAAATTTAATTTCAAAAACTTAATAAAAAATCCAAATGTTAGAGTTATAAGAGATTCGAGTGCCTTATTTCATCTAAAACCGTGCAGTCGTTTCTGATTGAAGAGCAGTCTCGCATAGTGCACGTCTTTATTTCATAAAATTTCAAATCACCCTATACCGATGAAAAAAGTCCTTAATTAAAAGAATTTCACTTTATAACATATCTACAGGCTAGGTCGTTAATTTGACCTCTCATTTTTTAAAATTCCATTTCAAAATTATTGTCAAACTAAAATCTTCTTAAATCTTATTCGTCTGACATTGTGATACACATGTATTTCAATAAACTGATGAACGAATTCGAATTTGATTGTTCGAACAAATGGCGATCCTCTAAATAGAGGTCAGGAATAAAGCCTTTTCAAACCCATTTCTATTTATACCCATCTTTTAATAATTCATCCAACTATTGAATAGTATGAATGTCACTTTTTAAACATGTAGCAATCCTCTTCAAACATTCAAACAGTCTTTCGTTTGACTATGGTATTTTTATATTTCATATACTTTTTGTATTGGGTTATCTATATATAAATAGGCAAGCATGAATAACTGGGAACAATATTCTCCTATGTTTCTTAACCGATTCGAATGATTGTTGCTTTGTTGGAAAGGTGTTTCGGAGGAGGAGTGCACAAACTTTTAACTTTTCCGATAGGTGGCGCAGCGGTCGAGCTATACTAAGCATTTATAGTCCGAGTTGCTTCAAACTCAGAATATATATTCGTTGCATAAGGATATATAAACCTGCCAAAAATGAGCCCGATAGCTGGCTCCACAGTCGAGTTATGGCAAATTCAGTTTCATGCAATATGTTCTCATATATCTTATATATTCTTATATATTGCCGGCCGCTGTGGTGTAGTGGTAAGCAGTGCGCACTTCCACTCCACTTGGTATAAGTTCAACCCGAATATCAGTTAGCGAAGCAACATGTCATCTTATATATTTATACGCAAACATAATTTTTGTGGTACACTTTTTAAGTACTTAATCCCCATTGATTTTAAAAGAAAGAGGAGGTGGTGTAGATGCGCCGAGTTTAGTATTTAACCCTCTAAGAGCCACTTTTCAAAAATATATTTTTGAAAAAAAAATGAAAGATGAGTTGGTGTAAATGTGCCGAATTTAGTTTTTAACCCTCTAAGAGCCACCTTGAGCAAAATATCAAAAAAAAACTATTTACAGTCCTGATTGGTACAAGTTCAGCCCGAATATCATTTAGAGAAGCAACCTATCATCTTATATATTAAAACGCAAACATGATTTTTGTGGTAAATTTGAATGAAAGATGACTTGGTATAGATGTGTCGAATTCAGTTTTTAATCCTCTAAGAGCCACTTTGGCCAAGATATTAAAAAAATATATTTAAAATCCTGATTCGTACAAGTTCAACCCGAATATCAGTTAGAGAAGCCACCTGCCATCTTATATATTATTACGCAATTGAATTCCCATACAAATCTAAATCTCCCTCCTGTTCCTATGAATTATAAAATTATTTAACCGAAGGTATAGACGAACTAGAGGTGCTGATGGATCTTAAAAACGTCACAAGCAAAATAAAAAAGTGTATGAAATAAGTGATGTGGTCGCATTTCGACCACTGGGCGATACTAGTTGAGTTAGATCTTTCAACAAGTAGCAGCCATCTTCAAAATTATTTTCGAGCTTAATCCTTGTTAACTCTCCTTCGCCGGACATTGCGATACATATTTAAACTAACTGATGAATTAAGTGGAATTTTATTTTTCAAACATGTGGCAACCCCGCTGGGTATAGTTCGTAAATACAAATTTTTCAAACCCCGTTCGATTGATACCCGTATTTTAAAAATTCATTTTACCAATTAAATAATTTGAATTTAACTTTTTAAACAGATGGCAACCCTCTTTCCACACCTCAAAAATATTCTTAGCTTTCAAACTAAATATATCTTAACACTCCTTCGTTTGACATTCATATTTTGTTAATTCATATAACTTGTGTATAAGTAAACCAAATTCCACATTTCAAGCAGGTGGCAAGCCTCTTCAAAATATTTTCAAACTACTCCTTTTTGATACCCCTTCGTTTGGCGCCCATATAGTGATACATATTTGTCTTACCTAATATGATTTTTTTAATTATTAATTTATACCATTTTGTAATAATTATTTTTTTTTTAATAATTTGAATATAATTTTTTTAAAGGTGGCAACTGTTTTCAGAAAAGTAAAACCTTATTGCACATCTAAAAGCGAAGCTTTTTAACTTGACGCCTCATTTTGGAAAATCGAACGAACGGTGCGGATTTTATGGTCTCGATTATTAAATAATTTGAATTTAATTTTTCAACAGGTGGCGGCTCTTTTATCCTGAACAAAAAATCCCTTCGCATATTACTTATATATATAGATAAGAACCACGACAGGCCAGAATAGTAATTTCTTACGGTGGCTGAATACAAATCTGAGTCAGATTTTAAAATTTAGCATTTATTTTTGCCTAAACTCAAAAAACCCGTTATTTTTGTCACTTGCAAAATAAATGGTAATTCGAACAATAGCACATATTTGACAACTTTCATTGAAGTTTGTGCTGTATTCCAGATTCCCAATGAAAACTCCAAACAATCTAACTCAAACAATAGATTTATATACATCATATTAAGGGTACACATTTACTTAGTTTTTCGGATTCGGATTCGGTTGGCGTGGAAACGCCATTTAATATCCGAATAGGGCATTACCTTCACCTTTCTGTTTAATGGATGAAATCTTTTTATGAAATTTAACGCGTTAGTAAATATTTAGCGAGTGGGTTGGCTGAAAAAATCCTGGCAAGGATATTTTTAATTAAATATTCAATAGTGGGAAGCAGTGCGCGCTTCCACTCCGCAGGGTTTGGGTGCAAGCCCTGGTCAAAGCAACATCGCAAAAAATATAGAAAAAAGGTTTTTTTTAACGGCGATCGTCCCAATGGCAGACCTCCGAGTGTATTCCTGCCATGAAAAACATAAAAATACAATTGTAAGTCCCTCCGCTTTGTGTGGCAATATCAAGGCGGACGCCACAAATCGGAGGAGAAGTTCGGCCAAACTCTAACATATGTGTAAGGGGTTAACAGGGATGAACGGATAAGTAATACTAGTAATTTTCTCTCATCTGTTTAACACATTCTATAGGCTTTATGCTTTCGATTGGTATGTGCGTAAGTAAATTGTTCAGTAAACAAATGAGTGCAAAACTAAAACAAAAATAATTTTTGAATTTTTAGTTAAAGATGGCATGGCCTGGATTTTTTAGCCAATGCACTCGCGAAATATTTACCAACAAGTTAAATTTCATACACACTTAATTTTATCCATTAAACAGGTGGATGGAGGTCGGGCCCTATTCGGATCTTCTAGCATGTAGAACTCCGCACTATATTTTTCAGATGTTCAGCGCTTTTCAGGTTTTCGGCGTGTATTTGAGTAAAGCGCTGAACACCTGAAAAACCTTGTATGGAGTCCTACTTTTACAGTTTACTCGGTTTCACTATGATACGTAGCTGCGATTATTTTGTATTTAAGTCCTAACATATGTACATATGTATAGTATATGTATATCTATTACATATATTGTTATCTTTTTAATTTTTCAGCTGCAATGCAGAGTTTCTGGTCACATTCCTGCCTAATAACTTACATCAGTTCCCAGCTAGTTTTTGGTTATGTAACGTCTGCGCTTTGCCTAAAACTTCAGTTAACTTTTATAACTTCTTCCATTTTGCTACTGGAGTCGACTAGACTACTCATGAAGATGCACTCCTTCGTACGTACAAACGCTGCGCGCGTTCTCGTTGGTAAACTGAAATTAGACACCGATTCTGGGGGAATACAAAGACCCAAGTCATCAATTGCATTACGTTTGCCAGCATTCAGCTCCTATTTATACTTCCTATTTGCACCTACGCTCATCTATCGCGACAGCTATCCGCGTACGTCACATATTCGATGGAGATTCGCTCTAGCGCGATTTTTGGAAATCGCGGCCATTGCATTCCTGTACAGTTATTTGTTTGAACGCCACATTAAGGTTCAATTCGAGGACTTTGGACGTGAGGAACTACCCATGCGTTCCTTAATTATCAAGTTGCATGGAATGTTCTTTCCCAACAACATAATCTTTTTGTGTGGTTTCTATCTTATTCTACACTCTTGGCTGAATTTCACTTCTGAATTGTTGCGTTTCGGTGATCGCATGTTTTATAAGGACTGGTGGACATCGGCAAACTACAATGCTTACTACCGCGATTGGAATGTAGTGGTGCATGACTGGCTCTATGAGTACATCTACAAGGATACCTACTATTACATTTTCAAAGGCTCCAAGTTGTCTGCAACGATCGTGGTTTTCTATACGTCAGCTTTAGTGCACGAGCATATTATTTCATTTGCATTAAGACTTTTCTTTCCAGTCCTATTTTGTTTCTTTGGAGGGCTAGGTATAATTATGATTATTATTACGCGCAAAGTCTCCAAAAGAATTGGTAATTTCTTGGTGTGGGCTACTTTGATCATCGGCAATGGTTTGTTGTTTTCGTTATACAGCATGGAATATTATGCTCGCCTTAATTGTCCAAGAACATATGACAAGTGGACGGACTATCTAGTGCCGACTGCGTGGACTTGCTACAACAAATAATATGTACATAGATGGATACATATGTTGAGTGGTAAATGAAGTTTTATATATACATATGTATGTTCTTACCATATGTATGTATGTTTGTGTACGTACAATAATGTATGTATGTATTTATATAGAACATGTACCTGTAATTAATAAGTAGTAGTTTTTATATTAAGGATTTCTAGAATTTATGTAAGTTATTTGCAGCAATTTTGTACTTATGTCTGCATGAAGGTACGTTTACTGTAATTTTTGGCGATTTTGAATTCCCTTATGTATCTTAAATACAAACACTTTCATTAGAAATTCAGTATGTACATATTTGTCAAATAAATCAGAGAAACTCCAGTTTTATTAATGTGAAGATTATTCTTTTTATATTGATTGGGTAGTATCTTTTTACATATCCAAATTTCTGTTAATATTGGTTGTATGTACGAATGTGCAAATGTGAACCAGGGATGAAAAAGTAGGTACACCTGTACCTTTTTCCGATGTTTGCGGACTTAAAGGTACATTTGGTACAATCACTAGATTTTAGGTACAATCATCTTTTGATGATATGTATTTTTAGTTCTTATTCTTTTCCGTGCTAATATATCGACCCCTTTTGCGCAAAATTATCGTATGTACCATTTTTTTCGAAATTTACTTTTTGGTGCAAATTTGTTATATGCTCCACACCGCATCACTTGGTAAAATATTGTGGCTACAATCCCTATAGTTACGCCAAAAATTTAGTGTATCGTATGTTACAATGCATTATTTTCTTGAGTGCGAAATCATCGTATGTGCCATACAAAAGTATTTTGAACATAGTAAAAAAAAAATATAATAAACAAGTAATTTTTTAGCAAAAAACAAAACCGGCTTTAATTCTCATATAAAAATTTAAGATTACCGTTAATTTCTTCATGACCCACTGATCGGATCTAAACCTAATTAGTATGGTACCACCTTTCCTTTAAAAAAATAATTTGTTATGCGGTAGCATACATAAAAAAAATTTAAAAAAAATCCACCGAATTGATAACCTTCTCCTTTTTGTGAAGTAGGTTAAAAAGTTAAAATGTTATCATATGCGGATGAGAATTACTTGTATTAATTTTATTCGCTCATACAGTCCTGTGTCTAGGATTTCGTCAAATTTCATATTTTCTATAGTTGAGAAAATAGCTATTTGATCGATATTGATTTCTGGATATATATTCAAAATGCTTTCGAAGTTACTTACGGCAATTCCCATTATTTTATCTAGACTTGCTGCACCTATTGAAAGGGAATCGGATAAATTAGCAGACTTCTAATGTTGTTTTATAAAAAGCTGGATTAAAAAGTAAACTTCGCAAAGTGTGTTTTATGTCTTTTTCTGTAGTCAAAATTAGGCAAAAACAAGTTTTTCCCCGATTCTCATTAGACTATAGATATTAGCTCTGTTAACAAAAAAAAAAATTAGTTTAACGTACATCCATCTTTTGTATTCCTGTTTTAAATAAAATTAATGAAAAACAAACTACAAACGAATGATTTAACTTTTTTGGTAGAATTTGTCTCATTTAGGTGCATTTATTTTATGATATTAGGTGCAATCTGAAATTTCCATTTTTCAGCCCTGATGAGAACGTTGTACTATAAGAAGATGATTTATACATTTAAATATTTCACAAGGTTCCGTAAAGTGTCACAACGTCCCTTGTATGTATGAATGCACATATGTACCCCCATTTTCCTAAAATTTCTTCTTCTTCTTTGCTAAAGAGCGATTGTAAATACCAATTTTGAATAAATATTGATGAATTCCTTAGCCGTAGTGCTCAAAAAGTCTGAAAGTCCGGTACATCTATATCTATACTAATTATATATATATAATTTTTTTATAACAGGTAATCTCGCGAACGGACGGTCCGATTTTCATGAAATTTCGTATATGAATAGCTTTCAACAGCCACCAGATCGGTCAAGTAGTTTTTGAGAAACGCATACATCATATAAGTGGGCGGTGACCCTCAAAGGGGAAATTTCCCACTGCCCCCCAAATCCGAGTCGGTCGAGAAATCGAGGTTACAAATTTCAATTAGACTCTTGGTATTGTGATTCTACTTCCGGAACAATTTCGTGCTAATTGAAATTTGTTTCTAATATGAAGTTGGCCATTTCTAATAGATTTTGTCGCTGAACTCATATCTGAAAAATATGCACAGCATTTTAAAATACATATCTTGTCCTTTCAGCACAGTGTGCTTTTTGAACACTGCATGCGAATTAATCGTAGCGCTTTCGACAGAAGCAGCATTTTGATACGAAACAAAATGGTTTTCAAAACAAAAAATTTATGTATTTTTAATATACTGCTATTATAGATTTTGACACGAGCAACACGATTCCACAGTTCAAAATTCAAAAAAAAATGTAACACCTTTATATAAAAAATGCATTATTTATTGAATTTTTTTCTATTTTCATGCAGCTGTTCATCCTTCAATTTTGTATCCCCCGAACAATAAGTGCAATTCAAGCCCTTTAGGCCGTCTAAGAGCCAAGTTAATAGGGCTTTCGCACGAGGCGATTTTTCAGGCAACTTTTAGTTGAAAGCAAAAATCGCCTCGTCCGAACGGCCTTTCAACTAATCGCTTTCAACAAAGTTGGTCGCCAGCCAACTTTGAGCTCGTTCAACTTTTTTTCCTTGCAACCCTGTGTTTCTTTACATTCTGTATCAGTGTTGGGAAATGAAATCGTTCCTTCAGTACGAAATCTATACAAAAAATGTACTTTTCGGCTATAAATTGTATACACTTTTTAATTCGCTCATATATTTTCTTAGTACATTCCCTTCAAGACCAATGATTTTATGGTATTCATGAGAAAGTTTTATTGTTTATGTACATACGTTTACGTATTTTACACTTTTACAAATTGATTCCACGTGCACATGTACTGCATTTAACGCAAATATGTATGCACACATTTTCAGGTATACATCTTAACAAAAAGCATATTTAAGTTGATATTAATGGATAAAAGAGACATTTTCTTTGGATTCAGTACTAAAATTTGACATTTTTATAGCATTTCAAGTGCTTATCAAAACTTTACGACAAGATTTGCCATTTATCTTAATATTATTAAATTTTAATTATTTTTTGTAAAAATACGGTTTATATTTTAAGAAAAGCCGTACAAATCCAAAGTTCAAACTTTGTGCAACATTAAAAAAAAACCAACACACTTTCGAAATTTCGAGCTTTTTAATTCGATTTCCTAGATTTATTTTGAGTGTGCGGTTTTTTAGCAATTAAATTTTAATAGAAGTAAGTTTTTTAAGATTTCTTTGATGAAGGTGTTGCTAATTTTCTCCATATAAAAAAATCGTCGAACACACTTCGTATGGAAGAAAATGACTGGCATCGTCGACAAAAAAAAATGCCAAGTTCAACGGTAAGTCCCAGCTACTTTAAACTTGCACTTTATTATACTAAACTTGAATGGGCTAAAAACTAAAGAATATTGATAAAGCTTGAAATTTTTACGAAAGTATATGTTGGTTTTTGCATGTTTCGCATAGATTTAATCTTGGGTTTATACAGTTTTTCTTAAAGAATACATTATATTTTATAAACAGATAGTTAAAATTAAAGAATAATAAAATAAATAGTAAATCTTGCCAATATGTGAGTGCCGTAAAGGTATTATATTTAAGAAAATCTCTTCTTATAACTAACGAAGACTTTCTTTCTATATGAAGTTGACTTCGACATTTTGTTTTAATAAAACTTAGTATCGAAAAGTTTCTTTAAAAATTTGCCTAGGCTGTATTATACTGGTTCGTTCAAGCCATTTTTCAAAACTTACAAAGGTAAATACGAACTGGCGAACAAAAGAGAATACAAAAAATTTCTTGCTGTGAATTTTCAGAGCTATATATTTTTAGTATTCATTACAAAATTGTATTAAAAAGTACTGCTTATTAGGAAAGTATATTGTAAATGAAATTGTATCAAACAAGTACAATTGTACCAAAAAATGCCAACACTGTTGTGTATACATATTTTTTTTCTTTTTTACTTTTTTACTCTTATTTTATCTTTCAGCTTCGCTAAAAGCACTCTATACTGTTAAAAGCACTTATACCAACGCTTGGCTTACCAAATTTACGCCAATTGATAAAATTTGGCGATTTAAACTCATTTTAAATAATGTAAACAACAATTCGAGTTGAATCGAAAATCGCCTCGTCTGAATAGGGATGGCAACTTTTTCACTTTCAACTTCTCATTCAACTCCGCATTCAACTTTTGTTGCCTGAAAAATCGCCTCGTGCGAAAGGCCTATAAAACAATTTTAACTGCTGTGCTAGTTTTTATTCNATCGCCTCGTGCGAAAGGCCTATAAAACAATTTTAACTGCTGTGCTAGTTGTTATTCGAAAGAGCCACAAAAAAACAACAAAAACAAAAGTTTTATTTTTAAATAAAATTTTTATTAGAAATGAAAAACATTAATTTTATATTATTCTTATGTACGTAAGATATAAATTAAAGAAAATTCAAAAGATCCCTTTTGCCAAATTTTCAATATCTGGTTTTACGTCAGTTAAAGCCGTTCGTCACAGTTCTGGTAAATGTTGGTTAGTCAATAGGTACGTTCGTTTAAAATCTGCAGTAGAAAATGTAAAACAGTAAAATTCCGGCGAAATACCATCTCTCAAGAGAAAAATATCCAAAATAGTACGCGAACAGAAAATTTGCAGAAACTTGCAAGTTAAATTTAGGTATTTGCACAAATTCCAACCAGCTGTTTTTGATCAGCTGTTTTCTTGTTGGCAAATTGCTGTTGGCAAATATTTTCCAGCAGAAACTAGCAGCTTGTCCTCAAAGAGAATGTCATTTTATTCTCTCAATTTCCTCCACTTTGCAAGTTTTTTTGCGTACGCGAACACCAAAAGCTGATAGTTTTTATAATTTTCAGCAATTATCAGGTACGCGAATGAATTGTGAACGATATTTTGACTTTACGAATTTCATTGTAGAGTACAAAGACTCACGGTTATAAGTTGTGCCAAAAATGGAAAATATACGGAACGCAGCTATTTTCAACAGCGGATATTTTAAATCTGGTACATGTTGCGGGAATTCATTAGTGGCAAAGCTGTATGTTACATTTCCAGTGCCTTATCTTCTTTTAATTCCAGAAACTCTAACTCTTCTTCGCTTTTCTTAAAAAGGAGTATTTCGGATATTGTAAATTCATCCTCAGTTATGATACACATAAAGGGGTTTATGGAGTATGCAAACGTACATTTAAATAATTTCAAATCGGCAAATCTTTTTTCAAAATCTGGTTTTAAATTATGTGCAA